AAGCGCCTTGTGTATTGCATTTGCACGTCATGTGTACAGGAGTGCGGAAAGCAAGGCAAAGAGATACCTGCGTGGTTAGAGAGGAAGCATCGCAAAGCTGCTAGAATCAAGAAGAGCAGGAAGATGGGCAGTGATGACGATGAAGACGACGACAATGAGATCGTCTCTTTCGAAGAGATAGCGGCCACTCGAAATCACACCTATGAAGCTCCACTATCGAGCCATACTACTGGTAAAAAAAATCATTGGGGGTACGAGCTGTTCACCCTATGATCGTGTAGTTGGTATTGATGTGTTTTCAGTTGATGATCCCCCCACTTTGAGCCTGCCAGAGCCATCGAGCAAACATGCTCCCATCCCACATGTCTCAGTGATTGCGCACCTGGTCCCGGTACAGACAATTCAAGCCCCCCTACACCTGGACAAGCCCAGAGTAACTCTCTGATGGACGATGGTGAGCTTCTGGCACAGTCTTTGACAACCGAGTAGAATGGACACCGATGTAATTACTGATGCTTTAGATGATGATTTTGTTCAACCTGACGGTTCTCCCATGCCACAGGACATCAATATGCAAGAAGATGTTAAGGAATCATTGGTGGATGATTACAATTTCCAACTCGACGATGGATTATTTTCTGGAGTTGGTCATGATCGTGACAATGACCCCTTCCACTCAATGCCTACTCTTGCTGAGGTGTCTGATGAGGATGATGACGACGACACGAATGTCAACGAAATCTCTACATGTCATGGTTCAGGTTTGAATGACTTGCTTGATCAAAACATGGCCAGCCTTCTCTGCCATGCAAGTCTGGATGGTTACCTTATAGTGCACAGGTGTCCATCGTGAAAAATCAATCTGATGGTACACTTGACTCTAACTACATTATCTCAAAGGTCAAGCACCCAAGAGCAGACCCCGTACAATGGGATAAAGACGAATCACACGAAAGAGAATCCTGCGGTGTCCATGGAAGGAAGCCTCGCTAAGATGTGAATGTCAACTCATCAACACAATATACTTGGCGTCTCACCATATTTTCTCAGAGATCAGACACGCTGGGGCAGATTATCGGTGTTATCAAAGAATCGACTATCGCGGAAGAACGCGGAAAAGATGACAATCCAAAGTTTTGGGCGACTTACAAGAAAGTTTCGACTGAGCAGGACGACGACTTCACCGGGCGGGCCAATGATGATATGGGCATTATTCTGACTTCTGTGAGGTTCCTTCTACGTTTCTCAATACAAGTCTCACAGGCGTTTAGGCTGGTCTGTTCTCAGCGGTCAACTCCACCTTCATCGTCTGAATGCAACCTGATCCAGGAGACATCACCCATGCCCTCGTTCTTAAACTGATCCAGATAATTGTCGACAGCCCAAATTCCCTACCTAACATCAATACTCTTTCCTCATCCGCGAGGTTTTCCTCTTCGATGGTCTGGATGCAAACACTCTCCTATGCTAGCCTCGCATTTAGCGTCTTGGCTGCGTCCGGGGCTGTCTTTGGCAAAAAATGGCTGAACTCTTACAAATCAGTTCGAGGACAGGGTCTCTCGAAGAGCGTGGCATAGAGAAGCACATGAAGCTAGACAGACTGGAATAATTCCGCCTCCGGACCGTATTCCTGATGCTGCTCCAGATTCCGCTTCTGCTCTTCGGCCTTTCGCTAAGCGCCAACGTGCCGATTGGGTATCAACCTCCACTTCCACACCAGATGGATATCAAATCGCTCGAAGCACCTGACTTCAAACAAAACGCTTCTATTGACCTCATTACTTTCAGCGTCAATGCTTCTCCCAGCTTCCTTCCTAAAACCTCTTCCTCATCTCATATCTTCTCTGCCAAAGGCTCCACACCCACCAAGCCAGATCTCAGGCCTAGCGCCGAGTTCAGAGAGGGTCGCAGGCTCAGGAGAGGTGACGGAACCTTGGTTATACCTCTTCCGACCATGCCTCCGACAAGAACGGTGCTTCTTCCTCTCCTACGAACGACTCATCTTACGAAAAATACACGGCCTCGGATAAAAAATTCACTTCCCTCCCATCTTCAGTACTTCGTTCGGCCCAACAGCTCTCCTCTCCTCTACCCCCACCGCAGGAGAGGTGATGGAACCTCTGGCACAAACCATACCTCTTCCGACCCACCTCCAACGATAACGGTGCTTCTTCCTCTCCTACGAACGACTCATCTTACGAAAATACACGGCCTGTTGGAAGGGCTATATCCTGGCTGCCACACTTGACCAGCGCATTTGATACTCATACTGGCTGCATGTCTACACATCGATACTCTAGGCGTCAACTACTTTAGATATTTAGTTCTGGCCACCAATATCCATACTAAACTTCTTCATTCACGAGTGATCAAGCCGCTGGCTTTCAGCTTTTTGATCTGGTGACGAAAGGTCAACTTCCCTGCACATCCAAATACATCTCACTCTGACCACCATCGGTAGCACAGGCAATCAAATGCGTTTTCATCGAGCTGACTTTCATGGCGTACTTTTCTCCCACCTCTCACCTTCTTGTCCAACGCACAATGCCAAGCGACTACAATCATGTATTCAGCCCCGTTCAAGAAAATCACCAATCAAATTAATATTTAAAGATGAATCGACCGTGACATGCGATGTTCAACTGCTCCAGAGCGACATAAAAAGAGGGATCAGACTCCTGCTTGTCCTGGAGATGGCGCCGCTTGTCGAAAATGTAGAAAGAGTGTTCGAAGATGACGACAACAGCTAAATGGTCAATGATAAGCAAGTTCATTGCAATGTAGCCTTGAAATTCACCAGAACTGAGCTAAATAATATTCTCCAAGGGTGATGGGCCAGAGACCGGGCAGATTCACAACATGAGAAATGTGTATTATATGATTAAATGGCCATACCATGGAGAGTGACTTGGACCGTATCTCTACACGATGATCGCGGCGAAGCTCGTCCTATTGATGGATCAGCATCGCTCAAGCTCGGACAGGGGTCAACATACTCACTTTCTGCGAACGGTGGGCAAAGACTTCGATCAGCATGGCTCGAGTTCGAACGACTCATGAATTCAAAATCGAAACGACCGTAGCGGGCTATGCCGCGAGCAGCCTTTCGCGTTAGTGAATAGGTGCACATGAGGAGTAGGAACGAGTCTGATCGTGATGTGCTCTCTTCTTGTTCCATTTCATCGTTCCCCTCTGGCACCTAGCAAACACTATCTAGGATATTGGATAGAACAAAATGTTTCCGTGGGACGCACAGATCCGCCAGACGCAATTCACGCTGCTTTTCTATATTCTCTTGCTTTTTTCTCTCGCGAATCTGGGACTTGGAAAGCTTGATAGGTTTCTCGGGAGTGTCTTGCACGGAAATGCTATCGAATGCACCGATAACTGCATTGTATGTATCGTGGTGAATCCAATCTCACACTGGGCGTTTTCAACCGGAATGACGTCATGTGTTGTTGGATTTGTAATACAACATGTATCAATACGTGCCGTTCGTTTTACATTCGTTAGAACTATGGCACACTCCCACGTTAACATAGTACCACCAGTCATGTCCCTTCCCTTCCACTAGAAATCCAGCAAAACATACTGTCTCTTGCCATTTGCTACCCATCAGATGCCGCCAGAATAATGAGGGTATCACGTGGGACACACCGGTGGTAAGCAATGCATGCGATTCAATATCGTAAATAAGCTTTTGTACTGATTGAATACTGTGGAAGGATTGAAAGATTGATGTATAAAAATATCACACTCTCTGATGAAGACGAAATCAAGGAATTTCTGGCATGTCTTCGCCTGCAACCAATGCACATTCAATTTGCAAAAACAGCCATTAACTCGCTGTATCTCGACGGTGTGATGGACGCGTCAACTGTGTTGGACATCCTCTCGCTTTGTACTTGTGTGGAGCATCTCGCTCTATTGGTTCGTATATATCCGACCATGGATGATCAATCATCACTATGGCTCACCTTGGATCTTCTGCCACTCAAGTCCTTGGTGCTTTACATGGGCATCCACTTCATCAACTGCATCACCATGTCCCATGTTTTGAAGAACCTTACCCATCTTGATCTCATTGACAGCGAGGTGCTCAGAAAACCCGATACAGGCTTGGAGGCTCTTCATTCTTTGACCCACATATGTCTGGTGCTTCAGATGGATAGTTCTCATCCAGCTGCAATCGTGCGTCTGGTCGGTAATGCACGCCTCTGCGTACTGGCGTTTCGCGTGAAAGATTCACACAGTCGCATTGAATCTTTCCTGGAAGGATGTGGAATCCAAGATGAGCGAATTGTGCTATTATCTACCGTGATGGTAAAGTGGGATAGTCTAGGCGGACGGATATGTTATTTTGGGAATTACTAGAGGAAAAGATTAGGCTACCGAAACCTAAGAAGAGTGAGTGGTTTGTCGCAAGCATCGCCAGTAGATTATCCTAAGCGATTTGAACAGAAGGGCATCGCTGCTTGTCACACGAAAGCATCATCGGACTCGCGGGTTATGACCATTGCGAGAGCAGCCCTGAAGGCGATCTCGAAGACGATCTTGAAAGTGATCCTGGAAGTGATCCTGGAAGTGATCCTGAGTGTGATCTTGACACTGAGCCATGCCCGACTTATAGCATGGCGAGGACAGAGGGTCACTAAAGAGATTCCAGCCATTCAATGGACCATGGCAGGAGTGGAAGCTTGATGCCTGTATGTACTGGCACTCGCCAACGTGAACTTGTTAATTGTCCGTGAGAGTACTATTAGATCCGTCATCCACTCTGCTTGATTAATCCAAGACGCATGTTGTATTGTCCTGGTAAAGCGATCCTTGGGGTCATTCAGATCTGAGAAAGTGCGGACAGCAAGGGAGCATGATGGGTTTCTCCTGATTTCAGCACGATGACTGCGCACCACTTATATGGTCAAAACAGAGATAGGTTTCAAACTTTGGAAAAAATATCTTTTCCTGGGCTGGTACATCATTCAGAGGCATCCTCCAGGAATAATATGAACCAAGAATTAAGAAAAACAGTGGTTGGAATATGGAGATATGGTTGAAATACTGACTTTTCTGCTCCTCCACCAAACCACAATATTGGCGACCTCTATACACCCTGGGACCATCTCCAATTGATTTGTACAACTGAAAAACAGTAGGAACACCATTTTCAGTATTGGTCTTGAGTTAGATTTGAGTGTGGTGCAATATAGGGGGTAGGAGGGGGGAGGAGGACATTCTATATCTCGACAACCTGATTTTTCCTGACATATTGGGCTTTACCATCATGTTCAGGGACATTGAGAGCCCCCCGGAAAAAATGCATTTGGAGGGCATGCAAGTCATGGGAAGGCTAGAAAAATCAATCTTTGAGGGGGGTATGTGACAAATTCGCACATGTCACTTTGTATGGTCTCAAATCACTCTGGTATCATTCTCAATCAATTTATATCATTAGAAAACAGTAGGGACACCCTTCTACATACTGGTATTTACATAATAGGAAGATATGTGAGTTAGGAGGGGAGGAGGACCTTCTGTATCTTGATGACCTGATTTTTTCTGACAATTCAGGCTTGACCATCTTGTTCACAGGAATAAAGAGCCCCCAGGAAAAATAGTGTTGGAGCCATGGCAAGTCATGGGAAGGCCAGAAAAATTGATCTTTGAGGGGGGATATGAGGTCAACTTATACATTACATTTCATATTGGCCAAAAATACTTTGAACCCATCTTCAATCTATTTGTATGATCCAAAGACACTATTTAAATTCTTTTTACATCAGTATATACATAAAATCATGCTTCATTGTTGAGTAGGTAGGGGGAGGGGGTAGCATGACTCTGAAACATGATTTATTTGGACAAAATCAGCATTGCCATCGCATTCAGTGTTAAATAACCTTAGGATCAAGTTCCATTTGAAGCCAGGCAAGTCATATGAAGGCTGAAAAAATCAACCTTTGGGTGAGGCAACAGGACAGGGGCGACCCTACTTACATAAGCAAATGCAGACAGGTGGACACACTTGAAGCAAGACACCACATATCAGAGGCCTGTTGCTCATAAATGTACATAGATCAATTGTGATTGTATTTAGTTTGAGATTGAGACATTAAAGTCATCAAAAGGCTAAGACAGTCAACCTTTGATTGAGCACCTCAGCATGGCAACCTTACACTCACTCTTCACTCATAACTTTAGAACATGATTTTTTTGAACAAAAGTAGCATTACCATTGGAATCCGATGGTTCAATAACCCCCATTGAGATGTCTATTTGACACAAGGCAAGTCGTATGAAGGCTGAAAAAATCGATCATCACGAACATTGACAATGTTCGTGATGATCAATACTTGACCAGTCCATTTTCTGCACAAACAATGTAACATTGTTTGTGCGGAAAATGGACTGGTCAAGTATCGCAACACATACCCAGGCGGGCTGGTGGCGTTCTTCGCAGACCTTGCCTAAGAGACATATGTCATCAAGGTAGTGATAGATGGGTCTGGTTTGGTCCAGTTCTCTGGCAAATTCTTTGAACCAAGAACCGAACTATAGGTTCAGTTCTCTCCACAAACAGAACTGTGGACCGGACCATCGGTTCAGTCCAATAATGGTCCAGTTCCAGTTCATCAAGGGTCCAAACCCTGAACTGGACCATCCAAATCTAAGCCCCAAAAAATCATTTTGGCCAAGACAAAGAGTAATGCTAGATAGTAGCTATACAACAAAGAGAAAATAAAACTACTTGCTATCTTCATCTGCATCATCATGGAGGGCAGCAATCAGTGCATCCAAGTGCTGCTTGGCATCACTGGCAGTGGAGATATGACCATTGCGGTACACACTCTTCAACAACTGCAAGCTCTCAAACATGTCTGTTTTGAGATGGTTCTGTCATTTGGTTCCCATCAATCCGCCACTTGAAAAGGCACATTCTGAGGGTATACCAGAGCCTTGTGTGGGCAAGTAGTCCCTGGCCATGCGTGAAAGAGTTGGGTACTGTGACTGGTGGTGCTGACAAATTTTCGTTAGTCAACTCGTATGCTTGTGATAGCATAAACACTCACCCCCCACCAACCTACGACATCATCAGTCTGCTCGAGAGGACTTCCAAGATAAGCCGTAAGTTCAGCACGAGGGTTCAGCTTGGTGCGATCTGATGCGAGATGTGCTTGCACAGCTGCAAGCACCCATGAACGGCCATACTGACCATGCAAGTCAGATGTCCCTTGTTCATTGTCAGCCTCTACAGCAACAGAGGTCGGGGCCACATCATGGTAGTACTCATTGAATGACTCCTTGTCCCACTGATGTTCGGCATATGCAATCTTGACATTGGGGTTGAGTGCTTCAAAGCCAGTAACTCATCAGTATCATCATAAGTGAAGAGGTATGAACATACCAAGGCAAGTAGAGTTTGCAGGAAGTATAACACATCGTTGATCATCAAAGATGTGTTATATTTCCTGCAAACTCTACTTGCTGATGGGGTCGGACAGGTGGGCAAACTTGACACAAGACTCCATATATCAGAGATCTGTTGCTCCAAAATGTACATAGATCGATTTGAGTTTTATGTAGCTTGAGATTGAGATATTTAAATCATTAAAATGCTGAGCCAATCGACCATTGGGTCGAGCACATTAGTATTGCAGACTTACAGTCACTCATTACTCATAACTATAGCAAATAATTTTTTCAGTCAAAATAATCATTGCATTCAGATTCTGGTTGTTCAATAACTTCAATTGAGATGTATATTTGAAGCAAGGCAAGTCATACAAAGGCTGAAAAAATCGATCATTGTGAGGTAGCAAGACAGGGGCGAGCCTGCTTACATAAGCAGATGCGGACGGGTGGACACATAGAATAAGACTTTTACAAATCAAATTTCTGTTAGGCTCCTAAATGTAAAAGGATCAGTTACCCCAAGAGGTGTGCGATCGAGAAGTTTATGACATACTAACCTGCCAAAGCTTCGGATAGCCCCCCCCCCCCCCCCCCCCCCCACACCGTGACAGCGTGATAGTCACGTCAATTAGACCATATATGGATGATTTGTCATGCAATCGCTGTACTTCCATCCGACATATTGATCCGAGAGAATTGCGAGAGAGAATTGCGAGAGAATGGAGCAACGAACGAGTAGAGCAGCATGTACAATACGACAGTGACTTATATTATCTATAGCATGACTACAGCGACTGATTAACGAAGAAAACATGAGCAAAAACGAGCACCAAAGCAAGGCAAGTATCACGTGCTTTACTTTTTTTTTGCATGTGTCCATCGATTTAGTGGATAACTTTGTTTGACACACATTTTCAATTGAAAAAACTATCTAAACATGTTCTTGGGTAGTACAAACACCCCCCTTCCAGTATACAATGAACGATTTTACGTAGATTTGAAGTCGGTATTGAGAAGCTCAGAAACGGTGCTCGCGAAGCTTCAGGTGGCTGTGATTTAAGGTTTTTCGATTATGTAAAGTTGAGCTCTATATTCGGGATTTTGCGAACGCACACCTCTTGAGTTACCCCTGTAATGCGGTCAATTTAGTCATATGAAGGTCGAAACAACCGACCCCAGGTTGAGCACCCCAGCATTACATGTGGCATTGTTCACTTTCATCCCATAGTATTAATGACCCCTAGTGAAATCTCAATTTGAAAGTGAGAAAGTGAGAAGGTTATATGAATGGAAACAAAATCAATCATGAAGGATAGTGCGATAGCCTAGGGTTATGCCACCAACATAAGCACATGATCAACTTGGACACAGCCTGACTGACAAGTTGAACTATTCTAAATCCTTATTTCTCAATGGCTGCAGCGGCAGACCAGCAGCAATGATTTCCAACACTTGTTATTACAGTGTTTTAGACTTTATTTTAAAAAAATTGTTTTTAAAAAACAAGTTCGCAAATGTCAACAAGACGTACATGTGATCTACACAAAGGAGGCGATATTATAGAGACAGGGGTACTAAGCGGCATTCCCAATACTCATTTTTGAAATTTTTGAACAACCTGAAAGCTAACCTGTCATAAAATAGGAACCAATGGAATTGAGTTAGGGGTTATATTTTTCGGACTACAATGAGATAGGTAAACCCTCCTTAGTGCCCCTTTTCTACACCATTGCGACGATGTGGGCATGAATAGATTGCACTCCTCCCCCATCCTTTTTCATGTGGGTCAACTGTCAATAACAGTCTCGGCCTTTGTTTCTCTTTTTGCACTGTTTACATACATAGAGCTGTAAATCCCAAGTTGTCCAAGTTAGTCACATCATTAAGTCCTGGCTTTCTGTATCAAAACTAGTTCTTGCGCAGATTCCTGAAATACAACAGTGAAACGCTTTGGTCGAATTATCATGCTGAGCTGGTGAGTTAGGCGGTATGTTGTCATACCATTGCTAAGTATGCATAGGCACTGGAAGTCCTGATACTGCTGTTGGCGTTAACGGAAAGGCACAACGAGCAGATGGAGTACAATGGAAGGA